AATAATTTTAATAAAAAAATTAAATAATAATAATAGTAATAAAAAAAAAAAAAAAGAACCTTAATAAGCTCGAGCCGAGCTCGAGCTCGAGCTCGCCAAAACAAGGCTCGAGCTCGAGCTCGAGCCAAAAAAAAAAGGCTCGATGAGCTCGAGCTCGAGCTCGAGCTCGGGAACATGGACTCGAGCTCGAGCTCGAGCTGGCCAAAAGAGCCGAGCTCGGCTCGTTCCCACCCCTAACATATCCAAACCCGACCAAGAACAACTATATTGTTCAATATTCTCTATCAAAAGTTGAGGATATTTTACTCCAATTTTGAATAAATTTATATTTTATTTATTTTAAATAAATACGTATTCAATTAAAAGCAAGCATTCAAAATTAATGTTTGTTAATATGGTATAAGCAAATAAAGGTATATGCAATCTGCAATTCCATAAATTTTCACCACTTAGATTGTATTTTAAATAGATAATAAGACTTAATATTTCTTGTTCATATGGACTTAAAAGGAGAATTATGTATATATTATGGTTATTTGTGTAAGAAAAAAAAGGTTTACTTTCAATTTTTTTCATTACCTCAATTGGTTAAAACATCAAATGCATAAAAGAAGAAAGTAATTTTTATATTTAATATTATGGAGTAGATATTTAACTTATAAGATAAGAGAAACTCTACAAATGAATATTCTAATGTTTGGTTTATCTTCTTGGGACAAAGAGATGGTTGAATTAGTTGTTGGATTGATGTAATTGACACTAATCTCGTACTTGTCTAAGAAATCATAAAAGAAATGGAAGTTTATGGAAAAATAAAAGATGTTGCCCCTATTCAAATCTCACATAACATGTAGCAGGTCACTTTTCTAGCCAAAAAATGAATTAGGGTGCAAAGTGCCAAGCAAAATGTAATTGTAGAATGCATTCTGCCATTTTTCTAATTTTAGGGTGCAAAGTGCCAATGACATGTAATTTAAGGTGCAAAGTGCCAAATACCCCCCCTTCCCTGTTAAGATTTGCAATTATGGTTAATCTCAAAAAGACCCATGACAAGGCACTTAATTAAAAAAGGGGCATCCAACTTTTTTATTTTTCAAATTTTTCCTTCAAACTTAGTTGCAAATAAGGAAAACCTTTTATATATACCAAAAACACCCCCAATTCATTGAAACCTCATTCAACTCCAATTTCATGCTTTACACCTCAATTATGCTCAATTCACCAATTAACAATTTTGACCCCAAT